AGAATGAAACAGAGGATACAGGGAGGTGTTCAGTACCAGGTCTAGGTCTTCTAACAGGGTGAGACGTTGTACAGAGGGAGAAGAAACAGCTCTTATCCTGACCCTAATATCCTGCAGGACTGCACACAGGAGCCCCGTTGACACTTATCCACGGGGGTCTTTGAGGACAGGAGTTTGGAGAGCTGGGGGGTATGTGAACCCTGGGGATTGAGTTAAATTAGAGTCATATTATCATGGCTGCAACACACGGAACATGTGGAGTGGTATACGCACCATTACAGACTACAAAACGCAACCCAGCTATATCACACAACAGTCTGCCTCTCTTCCTGAATTCTATGCTAAATTCATTCTATGCTCGGTTTGAGGTCAGTAAGGCAGATCCAGTCCGGAGGATTCCAGAAATCCCAGACGGAAAGCCAATGATCATATCCAGAGCGGATGTGTGTAAAGTCTTTAAAAAGACCGATCCACACAAGGCTCCTGGCCCTGATGCCATCCCTGGCCGTGTTCTGAAGGCATGTGCAGACCAGCTGGCAGATGTCTTCTCGGACATATTCAATCTCTCTCTAGCTCAGTCTATAGTTCCTTCCTGCTTTAGGAAAACCACCATTGTCCCATACAGTATGTAACCATAAGAAGCCCAGAGTCAGTTGCCTGAATGACTACCGCCCCGTTGGACTCACATCAGTTATCATGAAGTGCTTCGAGCGGCTGGTCAAAGCATACATCACCTCCCCACTGCCCGACACCCTAGACCCACTGCAATTTGCAAAATGCCAGAACAGGTCAACAGAAGAGGCTATTGCCACTGCCCTCCATACTGCCCTCTCACACCTGGATAAGAAAGGAACATACTATATGTGAGAATGCTGTTTGTTGATTACAGCTCAGAATTCAGTACTATAGCGCCCTCAAAGCTTGTCATCAAGCTCCAGGACCTGGGACTTTACACCTCCCTCTGTAACTGGATCCTGGACTTCCTGATGGAACGTCCGCAGGTGGTGAGGGTGGGCACCAACATATCCTCTACTCTGACTCCAAGCACTGGAGCCCCCCAAGGCTGTGTGCTTAGCCCTGTCCTCTACTCCTTATTTACTCATGATTGTGTCGCCAGGCATAACTCAAACTCCATCATTAGGTTTGCGGACGATACAACAGTCATCGGCCTGATCACAGATGGTGAAGAGTCTGCGTACAGGGAGGAGGTTGAAACCCTAGCCGCTGTGAGCTACCAAACATCCAGGATATCTACTCTACTTTTCACTGTATTCAGCATAACCGCACTACTTGTATATATTGCATACACCATGGACACATAACAGCTCTACTCATATTGGGTTTTATTCCGTTTCTATTACATCTATTACCTCAGTTTTGTGATTTCTTTGATTTCTGTGATTTCTGTGATTCTTGTGAGCTCGCAGAAAAGACTTTTCATTGCCAGCAACTACTGCTGCACGCTGTATTGTTGTGCTTTGATAAATACACTTTGATTGCTCGATTGATTGATTGATATTGATGGCAGACGGAGTAATTAGAAGTACAGGTGCAATTCCTGCCTGGCGGGCCTGTGATGGCTTCAGCGCGGAGATAAAGACCTTCAATTTCCCCAGCTATCAACCCGGCCGCCTTTGACGTGCCGCCAGCCAGCGAGGCAAGCAACGGCGGTATTGAAGCAGAGCTCGGACACAGACGGGACAGCTCCGCGGACCCGCGCGAAGCGCAGCAGCTGATCTCCGTTTCAGATCCCTGCCCTCCGCCTCCTGCCGCAGAGAAACGACCCCGAATCATCAAAGGGAGCAGAAACTC